AGTTTTGGCTTTTGCAGGATTCCCACTCTTTTCCAGTCTTGCCACCATTCCTGTCCCAAGACTTCCCATGGGGTGGAGCACAAGAGAACAGAAGGGGAAAAATGGGACTGCCCCTCCCACATTTCCTCAGAGCTTTAGAGTTTTCCCTTTTCCACTCTTCTAGAGGATTTATCCTTAACCTCATTCTGTCTGCACTACAGTGCTCACTTCCAGGCTTTGGACTGCTTTCAACTCAGGCTGGAGGACAGGATACATAAGGGAAAGATGGTAAACTCAACACTGGTTCAGTGGCACTTCAGATTATGATGTTCTTCCTGATCCAACTGCTGATGTTTACTTTTTATAGTTCTCCAGGTTTAATAATCGAATTCAGTGAGAGATAAAGGGGTGTGTGTGTTTACTTCATCATACCTGGAAGCTAGAGATAGGTTTCTTGTCTGCCTCTATTCATGATCTTCAGGTGTCTTTATAAATTCTGAAAATTCTTTTCTTAGGAACTCTCCTATAGACATAAAGGGAGGCAATGGAAAGAAGACACTACGTAGCTGATGTCACAAAAGAGCTGGTATAAAATCTTTAAAGGATAAGATTACAAGAAACTTCATTTATGTATATAGATACATTTAAAAAAAACCTTATGATCTAAGAACATTCTGAGGATAAAATTGGATGCACCGTGTAAATTCTGGCTCCTCTTTCTAGGTAAAAAGTGTATCCCACAAAGTGTCTCCTGTGGAAATTGACCATATGCTGTCTACTTTTAACCTGCTAGAAAAGCGTGATGCATTTTCACAGTCACTGAGTGGAGGAATGAAGCGCAAACTCTCCATCATTATAGCACTTTTAGGGGGCTCCAAGGTATTAAGAAAGAGAGAATGAGAGAGAGGGCGGGTGGGCAGAGAGAGGGGCACTAAAAATGGATTTCTGCCAGCTGGTCTAGAAAGCTCAGCTGAAGAAAACCTGAGAGTTCATGTGAATCTTAAAGGAACATTGCCAGTAATAATCAGAAGGAAATGGCATTATTGGTTCAACTGATATATTATAGTTTGGGATTATTATTTTTCCTAGAGTTTTTACCGCCATTTTTAGTCTAGACTCTCCATATTTACTTAAATGTGTTCCCCTCAAGTAGTAAATTTTCCCACAAGTAGCATATCATCAATTATCAATGGTTATGGAATTGTTCTTCTGGTTTTTAGGTAGTGATACTTGACGAACCATCATCTGGCATGGACCCAGTCTCAAGGAGGGCCACCTGGGATCTCCTTCAGCAATTTAAACGCGATCGTACCATCTTACTGACCACCCACTACATGGATGAAGCTGACGTCCTGGGTGACCGAATTGCCATCATGGTCGATGGGACCCTGCGGTGCTGTGGCTCTTCAATCTTCCTGAAACAAACATATGGTCTCTCCTCCCTTTGATCATTCTTAGGATATTGGTGCCTTAATAGTCTTCTAACAAGATTTTAATTATATTTTGTGTATATATCAAAAACTTTGGTGACTCCCTCTGTCCTATTAATTAGGTCACAACTGTTCTAATTGCTTTTTAAGGCCCTTTAGAATCTGGATATTCTTTACATATACTCACTCTTTCTCCAATACATAACTTTACACTCAGGAAATGCTTTTATCAAAGTCTACAAAACCTATGCTTGTATCTTCCATTTTGCACCTACTAACAGTTTTCTTTGTCCCTGGAATGCAGTTGTGCCCTCTAATAGGTTCATTTTAGGTGAGTGA